TATAGTTCCTAAATGAAAGTCTTCAGAGTTTTACAAAACAAAGAGCTGTAGTATCAATGTAGGGCTTTATTATCCTAGAGTTTAACAGAAGAATGTATTTTTTATAGGAAACTACGAGTAGCGTATTCGAATGAATAATTGAATTTCTTTTATCGTCCACACATATAAAAGTGTGTATACATGTATATAACGTTCAATCTATATTAATAACGTCAAATCAGTTGCTGAGTATTGACGATATATAATAAAATCTACAGTTGAACTGGTGAGAATAAAAAACGTTGTTTATTAGGTTCAATGTTAACAAATCGCGCAAGGCAATTGGCGGTTGAAGTTTGCCGTGGTCCGGCGCACATGGCCGCCATGACAGCGAATGTTCCCATTTAAGTACGACGCCATGCGCCATATGGACGAACGCTTCCAAGAAATGGAAAATCAAATATACAATAACAATATTGTACGCAACTCTTTGTCTGTACATGATCCGTACTGTCCTTAAACAAATGAGAGTTTAGCGTCTAGCGTATGGTCATTTTCACTTAAAACTATGTTCTGTTCCTCATATTATTTTTAGATAGATTAAAAGCTTCATTAGTAAATAAGCTCGTAATCCATTAAAAAGTTCGAAATTTAGTTCTTTCCGCATTATCATAACACAGATATTATTTGACCTTCATAGTGCAAGATTTTATGCTTCAACGCTTTAGTTGTTAATATCGAAGTAAAAAAGCTCACTATAAGTAATTGCAGACGATAATTACAGTCACAGTAACGGTAATGAAGGTGTCAGATTATGAATAACACTGATTTAAATACAATGAAAGGGAAAACACGCAATACAAAACATCAATAAAATGAAATTGCAGGAATAAATAAGTATTAGCTAAGTTGAAAAATCAACTGTGTTTACTGTTTAGGATTAAAAAGTCAATTTTAATGGAATTACACAAACAACTCGACACTCGCAAAACTAATCTTACCTTGCGATCCACATAGAATCCAGGGAACGACTGTCCGATTGCGTGTAACAAGAAAAACACAATATTAATATTCATAAAAGCCATCTATATTGTATAAACGGTTTGAACACCACAATAAAAGAAAACTTGTGGTAACATTCAGTAGTTCATCATCATCTCCTCTGCCTTATTCTACTCCCGTAGGGTCAGTGCACCGAGTTTTCGTTCTTCAAAGCACTCTATCATCCGTCATCTCAGTCATCACTCCCTTCTTGATCATGTCACCTTTCACACAATCCATCCATCTCTTTCTACGTCTATCTCTACCGGTGTACCCTTACACATTCATAACTAACGTCCTAAACATAATGGTAACATGCAGTAGTTATTCCTATTTAAAAAAAAAACACTAAAAATAACTGTCATATAAGCGTGTAGATTTTGGAGAGGCTCGTTAGAGATCTATAAAAAATCAGATAAGATCTTAATAACAACGCTGCTTCTAATTGGAGTAGGAAGACGTGTGAACGAAGTATAGTGGGGAACATCGACACACTTCATCTCGAGTGCTGGTTAAAAACATCATTCATCTTCCCAAGCGGAACAGTCACTTGCTGTTTCCGTTCTCATTGTTCAAAGACATCCTGCTTTAGGCACACGTATACTTTTGCTGAGCCCAATTTGAACAAGGTACCGCAAAGGCGCAATTGTTAGGATACATAAATTCACATGAGTTACTACACGATCGTAAACGCTACTTGATGAAAGTAATAGCTGCAGGAAATACTATGATGTTTCTTAGTCAAATAAGAAAACTCTATACTGAACTCCAAAAGCTATAAAAAAAACAATCATACGACGATCCGAAGGTTCTTCGATTCAAAATATTGCACTACGTAAAAGTCATAAAGAATGTTCCCGACAATGCAGAAAACATAGGCCAGACATGGAAATGTTTACCATAATAAGTTCCAGCGAACCGATGACGCAACACACCTGATTCCGTTCACCCGTAATTATAGTAATAATGATAATCAGAACTCAAACAGTACTCGATGCTCTGAAAGACCGCACGCATGCGTCCGACACTTAACTGCACTTTCACTCGCATGATTAGGGTTAACCGGTCCCTGGGCACTAACACTTCCATCGGCTTTTCACCGTTTATCGGTCACATTTTTAAAGAAAATACCAGCTAGACGTCAATCGTCAGCTTTCTACGAGCTTAATTTTCTGGCTCGTGCTTGTGATTGACATTAAAACACACATTTGGCAAATAATGACTGAGTAATGCTTTTTATGCGACCTATGTATTGAAAAACTTACTACGCTCATAGATTAATGATTTATTTATAATTTTTTCTTGGGAATTGTCGCATTAAACCATACTAATATTACGAGTTTACTAGATGCGAAAGTTAAGATGAATGGATGTTTGTTACACTTTGTAGCCTAAACGAATGAATGAATTTCGATGAAATTTGGTATAGATGCAGATGATAGTCTAGGAGAACATATAAGCTACCCACTTTTGCTTTTTTAAATTCCACGCGGAGTCGCGGACGAAGGCTAGTAGCAAAGAAAAGTTTTATTGTATTTTGTTGATAATGTCTTAAGATTTCAATGTAAAATAATATTTAAACTTATCTTTGGGTTCTTTATCACATCGTGGTCTTGGCCTTTACCCTACGGAGGCTCAACATAGACATAAGTATTCCTTGTGCAGCATACTATTAGATTACACGCTGTAAGTGCACGCTCACGACCTGACGGCTACGCCCATTAGCACAACGTTCCGGAACGGGTAATCTTAATGACATCCGTGCTATTTTGGAATTTGTAGGGATTACTTCCTAAACGATAATGCATCAAATTATCATCGTACCGCTAAATTACTTTTATACCAACCATTATTTTAGCATCAATTAACAGTTACTTGGAAAACTGTTTATGCACAATATAATGGCCTTTTTTTTATAATATAAGGTGGCAAACGAGCAAACGGTCACCTGAATCCACCAAAATGGAAAGCGACCGCGGCCTATAGACATCCGCAATTGCAGATGCACTGCCTACCCTTCATTGATGGAGGAAGAGACGCACGTAAAGAGGACATTTTCCCTTCCTATGCCTCTCTTCCACCGTCAAATCCACTTTTCCCTTCCATCCTTTCCTCTTAAGAAAAGGGTGGAAAGGAAAAGGGACTAAAATTAGGCCTCCGGCACCACACTCATCAGACGAAACGCGGAATTGATTCCACTTCTCGCCTGTTTTCTGTGTGGTCGTGGTATTACACCGGGCGAACCGGCCCTATAGTGCGAAGATGTTAAAGCGGGCTCTACCACTGTTAAATGCCTATGTATACCACAATCTATTACTGTGTTTTATTAGTAATAATTCCTAAATACATTAAAGTATTAATCTAGTACAGTGGTAACTATAATTTGAAATACACTTTACAAGACAAACATTATGGTGCCAGATTATACTTGCATTATCCGATTTGGTCATTCAAAGAAACGATAAAAAAACTAGTCAAGTTAACAAGCTTAGGAAAGCGTAACTGACAATTCAAAACAATGTTCGGGATCATTGTTGAAAGAAATTCAAAGTTCTTAGCATGTTCTCATTGTAAATCACAAATAAACATTAAGTAAAAATTATGAAACGATTTGCGTGTAATGTTGAATTCGAATCAAATACGAACGTACGAGTTCACGCTCTATTGAAATCATATTTTGTAATACGCCCACGTCCGGTTTTTTCCATAATGAAAGCGGTTTTTAATGATTCGCCCGTGTCCACTGAAAATGTTCATGTCCTCGATCGTGTCACAAAAACGTGCAATTAACATACAGTACAAGGTAAATCAACTGGGCGCAATCGTTTGCAAGAGAACCTTGTTCATAATTTTAACTTGCTTTAATAATTGGCCGATGCATTAAACCTTAACACGACAGGACTCGAATGTAATAAAATGGCTAATTTATAACATCTTAGTGGTATATTCTCGTGTAATAAACTTCGTTATATCTTGATGATTTAAATTATAAACTGCATACAAGTGTACACGTCTATTTCATGTTGTCTATGTTATCCCTAAGTAGGTAACTAAATGATATCTTTATAAATGCCAAAACATTTATATGTAACTAGCTGTCGCTCGCGACTTTGTCCTCGTATATTTTTAAAAAGTAGCCTATGTTACTCGGCGACAACGTAGCTTTCTAATGGTGCAAGAGTTTTTAAATAGGTCCAGTAGTTCTTGAGTTATTTTAATACATACAACAATCTAAAAAATACAAATCATTCCTCATATAAAACTCTATTTAAGGTTCATTATTGGTTAATAGTAAAAATATGTAAACCTCGAACAACCTATATTTATATTTGAGAAACACAAGTACAAAATCCGTAATTATAAATAAATTATACCAAGAATTGAATGGTGCTTAATGGTACATTATGCAACTTAAATGTAAACGCTTAGACAACTTAACTGAGTCACTCTACATTCACACTATTTACCAATGCGAATCTAATTAAAAAAATATAAAACTCAATGGGATATATTTACTAAAAGTCTTTTTAAGTCCAAAAGTAACATAAAATGGAATGTGATGTATTTATTTTTGTCTGGCTTAGACACTCTTAAAGCGAAAATAGTTTACGCTTACACAATTCTCCAATAAATTGCATCAATTTTGTTATCAAAGGCGGTGTAAACGCAGAAGAATGCACGCAAAAGAGCCTCGGGAACGCAACCACACAATCGTATCGCGGGCCCGGCATCGAAATAGACAATTTAACTACATAGCGTTCGCGGCAAAACGATTTCAAAATACACTGCGAAATGCAAGTTAAACATGATCTTATGCCATATAAATATATCTAACTTTTGATGCGTTTTTATTTAATTTGACAAAATATTTATGCATCATTTCATATTTCTGGCTGTGATTGAATTCACTATTTGCTTAGAGCTTACTGGACCGAAGTGATCCTAACAAGAGAAAGATTGTAAATGACTAAAATACTCACAGCAAGTTCTTCGCTGGTGTAGGCGGTGAGAGTGCGGCGATCCTGCTGCAGCACGCAGTAAAACGGCTCCCAGGACGCCGGCACGCCCACCGCCGCGCCGCTCAGCGCAACCGCAGCACCGTCTGCAAACATACATACAAATGCAATACTCGTACTATGTATAAAAGTACATTAGCATCAATGTAAACGTATTGGTCTATGATCTATTTGTATTCTTTGTTTCCACCAACCAATTTATGTTACTCAATATAACCCAACTTTTGTTTCATAAGTCTATAATTCTTGTTCTAACTTAAAGTTAAAGCAAAATGTCTCACATCACATTAGTACTGTATAAAGTTACAACGTTATTGCTACGACTTAAACTTATACGAGTCTAGATCTTTTCACTGCAAATTGTCAAGGTACACTTTAGGAACAAAGAACATAAGAGTGAAAGAACCAAACGTTAAACACATTACATAAATGCATATACAAGGAGAGAACAATGACAGCAATTGAACTACTTATTCAGCTAATAAAAGTCGCTCATGCTGCGAGCGACGCCGCGCTTACATGGATTAATGTGTTCCATTTAATCTATTAAGCACTGACTCATGTACAGACAACATAACACTTCGTGCTTTAAAATGTTAAATATAAATATCATCCAACATAAATGGTTTAAAAAGTTCGTTACATAAATACATTATGTTGAACTTACGCAATTGTACTCGTATGAGTAGAGAGAAATGTTACAGAAGAAATAGTCAAAAAATGTTGTCACATTTTAAACTACTACGATCAGCAATGTACGATGAGAAGAATGTCTTTAAAACTAGATAAGACATGGATTTCATATCATCTTGATCAACTTACGAGACTCTCCCAAAGCATTATTTAGATTGTACCACCGAGATATTCGAAGATCAAGCAACGCCCCTTACCCGAGGCAAAAAGCGGAATTTTAAACAACCTACTAACCCACATTAAAAATAAACGATACTAAAAATGTGTTTGCTATCTGTACCAAGGATGCAGTGCAACGGATGTTAAGTTTACATATGTCTTTAGAATTATTAAAATATGAAACGTATTATTGTTTCAGAATTTCAAAGCAGACTAAATATAACATTTGGTGTTATAAAATATTAATGCTTTGATTGGTAACACGGAAATAATTGAAGTTCAAAGTAATTTTAAAAAACGAATATACATTTGGTGTGACAATAATTACTTGTTCATACATCCGTTCAAGAACCAAACAATTCTTTAATAATTTTCGGAGAAGCATTACATAAAAACAGTCGTTCAGATCAAAAGAAACAAATAGATGCACATCTTAAATTTAGTAGTGTAAAAAGTAACGTTTTTAGCAAAGCCTACTCTGGTAAGGAGTATGGCAATACTTAATCACTGCCTACAGACTGACGGAAATGCAAATGTGCCGCATCGTTGAGCGAAGTAGTCAGTGCTTTGACTTAACATATTTTTAGATGTCGTCATTATCTATTAGCATTGTGGGCGTCGGGTTCAGCGATCCCTCTCTTAATACAAAGTAATGAGATTTATACAATTTGAAGCCTAAGTCAAATGTTTATGTTTGTTTAAAGTTGAATTGATGTGTTATTTAAAATATTTTGGAGCTAAGCTTTAAAATTTAATGACCAAATATCAAAAACTATCTTTTCAAATGTTGATTATAGCATACAGTACAGTATTACGAATTTGTTCATAGACCCAATCAAATATTTCACGAAATGTAAATGTTTATTTTGCCAGAGCACCAATAAAATAATGCAATCTAAATTGAAGACAACGTCCCTCTGATAATAATAGTTAATATCTGTCGCAGTGACTAAGACTTTACAGTGAAATAGCAAAAGCTTTCTGAATATTAATAAAGTTTAACGCAACTGCTTTGTCAGATCCCTTTTTCACTGAGAAAACATCGGCGCGACTATGGCTGTGTGTGACTACTATCGTGGCACCGATGGAAAACATAACACATTGATATAGGACTCGGTTCGATTAATCGCGCTGCTAATCTCTCAATGGAAAAAGGATTTAAGCTCGTGCCCAGACAGCCCGCGGCAATCGAAATCACCATCGCCGGCGCAGTCACGCATGCTCGCTTTGCACCAAGATATGGACAGGGGCCTTAAACGAAACGCTCCAATACGATAGCAATTTCAAATATTACGATCTCATGAATTTTATAGATGCATTTTGTTTTTATAATGCTGTAATACTGGGTTAAGTATTTAATATTTTTTTAACAGATTTACTATTGGCCACAAAGTTCCTCTTGTACCTATCAGACAAAATAATACATAACAAAAACTAAAAAAGCATATTTGATAGACATCATTATTTATGCTGTTACAGTTAGGAATCCCTCTTAATGGTATCTGTTACACAATTAAAGCCCGTTTAATATATTCAATTGGCGGACACGTTGTCCATTAGGGCTACAAAGTACGAGGCCGGTTGGACGCGCGTCTTATTATCATTACGTAAACCGTTGTGCGGATGCCGTGCTCCCCGGGCGGGATGACGGATGTTAGCCGCCAGTTCTTTGGATTCCGCATCTAGTTGTAAATGATTTAATAAATGTTAAATATTATCTTACAGATACAATGGCATCATCATCTTCATCATCATCATCATCGCCTTATCCTACTCCCGTAAGGTCGGCGCAGCAAGTTTTTGTCCTCCACATAACTCTATCATACGTCATCTCAGTCATCACTCCCTTTTTGATCATGTCACCTTTTACACAATCCAACCATCTTTTTCTAGGTGTACCTCTACCGATGTACCCTTCCACACTCATAACTAACGTTCTCCTTGTATTCACACTTCTAAATCTTCATTAACTTGTACGTAATCTTTTGCGTGTGCGGTTTATGTTAATGGATAGAGTTACGAGTGTGTTTTATTGCCAGGCAATTATATAAACTATAGAACTAGATAAATAAGAGCATACTAACTTAAACGAAAATCTAGCTTTTAAGCTAAAGCTCATGGTTGTCGGTTACTAAATTACATTCAGGTATTTATTATTTTATTTGATTGAATTTAATGTTGCGAGTAAATATTAAATCCAGTATCAATATAACGTATGTTTGAGTTTAAGTTTTAAGTTCATTGCTCTCAAACCGACAAACGTAGCCATGTTTAATATGACAAGATGGAATTAACCAGTAAATCTATTTGCGTAATGCTTTATTTATACACATCAAATCTGTTTAATGTCCACCATGTTGGAATACCGTCATCTGTTTACAATTAGATTTGCTGACCTGATTGCTTACCTTAAAAGCAAATCACAACAGTACAATAGGTTTGTTTTATAAGCATTTACCACTATCATCTTCCTTGTAGTACATTTGGTATACAATACACTACAGTAGTGCACACAACCGTTTATATTGTAATGAAATTTATTGACGATAAAGATATATAGTTACCTATTAATAAAAATAATACACAATAGTTGTAGTACTATTATTGCATTTTATGTGTGAAAATAGAAAAGATTTTTGTGCATATATTAAATTCAAAAACTAGTGAGACTGAATTCAAAAATTCTTAACCATTAGAAAGGTAATTTATGACTAACATAGGCAAGTACATTTACTACTAGATATTTCTAAAGCATGGACAAAGTCACTAACGAAAACTAGTGTTTTACAAGTTTAACGAGACGAATGTACATAAATTCAAATTACTTATTAGAGAAACGTCAGTATTACTTAACAGTATTTAACTTTAACAATTTAAACATCGATATTCACGAGGTTTTGCGAAACTTTCGAATCTTCAAACGCTGACGTGATACTAAGAATGAAAGAGGAACGATTACAACACACCAATTATAAGGATTAGACACGACACAAAGCTGACGAGAATTTCTTAATAATATTTGTATCAAAGCGATATAAATCTTATTAAAGGGTACACAAAAACGTTGATTTTTAACAGTATATTAGTATAGTAGCATAACATCCTTTAAATCCATAAAAAAAAAGTCTTATTAGACTGTCTTATTCGAGGTAACTGAGGAAGATACATAGCTTTGGTAAAATAAACAATTATCAAATTTCGAATACTGTTTGAGTGCAAAATTAGACTCTCTTAGCGAACTGCACACAAATAATAAACTATTTATTGTAGAAAACACAATTGTAATGTCATTGTAAATGAAGATGCTTAAACGTAAAAATGTTTAGAACAATTATTATTATGAATTGCATTAAATGAATCTCTAAATGTTCTTAAATTGTTTGTAGAGTAAAGAGTTCCCCATGCTTCCCAACGGTGTAACTCTGTAACCTAAAGGTCAGTTGTGGACCGGCTACAAAGGGCGTCGCCCCACTCAAGTCTAGGGTTACCATATTCCCGGATTTAAGTACACACCAACTCGATTGTAAGGTTTTAGAGTACAACCCGACAAGTTACTTAAAAATGTTTTACTTTAAAAGGTTTACAAAAATCAGATTTTAAATGGAGACAATATTGTACCAGAGACCAGAGAAACATGCAAAATCATCAGGAACTACAGGTAATGTTCCTAACACTCTAATTACATTACTCATAGTACGTACACAATGTGCAGTCCATTGGCATTGAACCAGTTCACGCAGCGTGAGAACCTATCCGTCATATACTAATAGATTATTGTTAGCGCTACATTCATACTGGTAACTGTTATTATTATTTCAAAACCATATATCTTTAGAGCTCGCGCATATCTTTGACTAAAGTATCGCACAACTGTTTAGTCGCGCTTTGATTCTTATAAGATTATATTTAGGTGCGCACACTACTTAATTTTTAGTTGTGGAACTAAACAGTTGAATGGGCTGCGAAACGGTTGTGCGATAGTCAAAGGTGTACCCGATCTTAGATTGTTATATTAAATCTTTTGTAACTCGTTCGTTAGTCTCGGTAAAAGTGTATTATTATTTCCTGTCGCTTGATTGTTGCGTGGGCGGCCGTCTTTATAACGCATACTGTTGTGGAATAGATATGAGCCGCGTTGTCAAATGTAACGTAGGCAGCGGACGGCTCTTTATGAACGCAAATCTAAACTGATTGTGATGCATCGTCCCTTGAATTTAAAATAATTCATGAGTAA